TGTTCTTCCAACCAGATGGTTCCCATATGCAAGGATCAGGGACAGTCTGCCGCAACGAGACCAGCTTCATCTATGTTTCTAGTCTTTTTAAAATAGAGGTACATCCAGGACACATTGTTTGCAGAATACATAGGTAAGGAGGTATATTATAGCAATGTCCCTCAATTGTTTATTGAACTCCTACATAATACCCTTTAATCAGAAGGTGATCTGTAATAAAAATTATAAAAATTTTAAAATATTTTATCAATTGTCAACAATATTACGCTTTCATTCAAATTTTTCTGAAAGCAAAGGGTTAGAAACTATGTACTTGGAGGAGGATGTGTTATCCTGTCACTCTCAATTTCTGGGACATTACTGGAGAGGCCTCACATCCACTTATCAAGGGACTATGGTTTATCCCCACTTCTCCGTCACCTAGCGGTACCTTGTTTAACCTGATATATTCTGAGAGGGCTGGGAAAGTCGAAATGTTCATTTCATTGCTTTTTAGCCCCTTCAGTCTTTTTCAATAAAATGCTTTTGTCATACTGTGTTTTAAAATATATTTTCATCAAAGCTTGGAGCTGCAGATTTAGTTCATTCCACTTATGGCCAGTGTGTCCTTCACGCAGCCTGACCCTCCTTCTCAAACCAGTGAAGAAATGAGACTTATTTTCTGTCAGACAAGGTCTGACCCACTTTTCCATTGAAATAAAAGTGTTAACATGATTTTCCAGGGATTTTCAGAAAGAAAATCGTGAGAAATAAAATTACAGGACACACCTTATAAGATAAATGGCTGAAGGCAGTGAAGTCAAGATTGAACACATATAGATTTAATTAACTGACCCACTGTACAATATGCCGGTAAAAGTAAATGCGTCTGTACACTGCTTTTCTAACTTAATTTGTAACAGTTTAATGAAGTATGTAGGCAAATGTTCAGGTTATATACTGAGTGTGGAGAATGATGATAAAAAAGTGTGTGCATATGCATGCAATGATCACTATTCCCAGGAGCTAAGACTAAATAAGAATTAAGTATGGGGCTTCCCTGGTGGCGCAGTGGTTGAGAGTCCGCCTGCCGATGCAGGGGACGCGGGTTCGTGCCCCGGTCCGGGAGGATCCCACATGCCGCAGAGCGGCTGGGCCCGTGAGCCGTGGCCACTGAGCCTGCGCGTCCGAAGCCCTGGGGCCCGAAAGGGAAGAGACAAAGCAAGGAAAGGCCCCGCGAACCGAAAAAAAAAAAAAAAAAAGAATTAAGTATAAAAATCATTTGAAAAAGCTCTTCCTCACTAATTCTGGCAAGCATCATGATCAAAGCCTCCTTTGTGTTTAATGAAAAAGAAAGGTTGGAAAGGTATGAAGGCTTAATGAAAAGAAAGGCAAAAAACGAAATCAGTCTCATAGCTGACACTTTGCAATGTGTGTTTGCAGTATTATTTAAGAATTTTCAATTCCTCCATATAAAACAAGACATGAGTAGAGAAGCAAGTGGTCTATCTGACTCGTGAAACCGTTTACAGGTCAGCCGGACGTGGGGAGGTACCGGTATTCATAAGACACTCGTCTTCACGAGGCCAGACATTACCCACCCATAGCTGGCTTCCAGTTCAGCCCCAGCATTTCCTGCCCGAGGCAAGCAGATAAAAGGCCAAACGCATTTCATCCAGCAGCGTAACTCAAACTCCCAGTGGAATCGGGTTTAACGTCTTATTAGTCTTGTCACTAACTAGAGTTAACTAAAGTCTTTGACGTGCTCATATAAAGACAATGGATTCTCGTATTCCACCCCAGTAAGACAAAGAGCTAAATGTATTCTCACACCCTCTACCCTTCCCATCACTCCAGGCTTCGCCACGTTGACACAACCCAGACCTTAAACTCTGGCTTTTCAGGGCTATGTGTTCTCTTACTTTCAGCTTAGCTTTTACAACCACCGTAGCCTTCCCACTTGTACTGACGATTGTTACGATACAGGCCTCTTGCAAGATTTCTTAAATGTTGTTTCTCTATTTAAGCAGTTCATCAAAACTGCTTTCAATGCCGATTTTTCTGCGTCAAAGCTCTGAGGCACCATTTTTAACAATCAGTCATTTGCTTTTGTTAATTCAGTGGGTATTTATCGTCTGCAGCATGGCAGGGCTGTCCTAAGTGACGGGGATCAGCCGTGCACTGATGCCTCTGACCTACAGTGTTAACGTTTCGTTGGGGACAGATAAACAAACCCAAGTTACATCAGAGCAGTACGTGTCAGGAAGGAAAATCGGGCAGGGTGAGCGGTGACGGAAGATTCAGTGGGTGCATGAAGTCCTTATTTCCACGAAGGTACCCTTAAAACGGCTCTCCAAGGAAGTAAATGATTGCGATTTAAAAACCGTTTTATGCCCCGCCTCCATTTTTAAAACTTGGAAAATTCACATTTTACAGTGGTAAAATTTTTTGTGTGTGCGTTACCTGCTTTTGTGTAAAAAATCCCAGAGCACTTAGAGTACCATAAAATGGTAGTTTTAAAAGTCTATGTTTGAACTTTTAAAATTCCTTATGAAAAATTTTAAAGACATAAAAGTAGAGAGAAGAGTATACTGCATTCCTATGTGCTGGCTCCAACAATCTCCTACACTCGGCCAATATTGTTTCAACTAGACCTTTTCTCCATTTACAGTCCTTTTTTATTGTTTTTGTTTTTTCTTTTAAGGAAGCCCCAGACTTACCATTTCATCTGCAAGGGCTTCACTGTGCCTCCTAACGACGCCCTTGCAAGGGTAACAAACGGCACAGACACCCCATTTGCCGGATGTGACACTTTACCGCTAGCGTCCAGATAGTTTAGATTTTCTTTGTCTCTTCCTCTTTCCATCTGGTTTTCTGATTGTAAATTCATTCTATTATGTAGCTTGTCTATTGTGTTCACGATTTCAAATTCTGCTTGGCTCTCTTGGTTTCATTTCATCTCTTTGAGAATGTTCATTAAGCTAATTTTAAATTCTTGGGCTCTCTGTTCTAAAATATTAGCATATATTCTGACGGACTCTCTAATTCAATATTCTAATTGTCAAATAGCTGTGCTCTTCAGACGTTTTCTTTCTCCTCAGGAGGTCATTTTCTGCGGGGTGTTGGCTACTTGGTCAGCTGGCCTCAGAGGCCTCAGTCCCAGGGAGCTGAGGGGCGGGGAGAGGCGGGGAGCCCCGGCCCCTGCAGCCCTGCCGCTCTGGGCTGTGGGCAGACGCGCCGAGAACAGGGCCTTTGCCCGCCCAGAGCTGCCCTACAGACCCAGGCCAGTGATGCCGGTCGATGCTTAGCCACGCGCCCCCTCCCCGTCCTGTGTGCATGTGTGTCCATGAGCTGACGGTCAATTTTGTGGCTGTGAGGACTGCAGCCCACCCTGCATATAATAGATAACAATAAAACACATGATACTCCGGCAAGTCCCAGGGCCCGCTGCCCCTGCAGACGCCCGGTGGGTTCATCGCTGCGCCCTTGCACCCACAGCCCGTCCAGAGCGGGGTCGCCATCACCCATGTGTCTGGCGCGGGAAGCAATGGCGATGCCTCTCGTCATGGGCGTGACAGTTCTCAGAGGCTGCACCAACACGTTCTCAACTTCTGGCGCCCTCACAACCTGGCAGGCGCGTTTCAGGTGCCATCTGCACAGCCTGCGCCCCTTTCTCGGGCCTGGGGACAGCAGGGCAGCAGAGGGGGCCAGGGTGGAGGCGTCCAGCGTGCACAACTCCCCCGCAGGCCGACGCCCGGGCCCAGAACAACGCACACGGCGAGTGAGGGGCTCTGGGGATCCAGTACCTTGATCTCGATGACCGTGAGCTCATACGGTGTGATTTTAACTAACAGCTGGGTTCGACCTCTCCCCAAATTCCCGCACCTTCGCTGCTGGGCCAGTGCCCTGACTCGCCAGGTTCCCTCGGCTGGTCCCTCTGCCTTTACTAAAGCAATTATTAATAATATGACTAAATGTTAATTAATATTAACAATTAAATGACGGCAATTTACGAAGTAGCTGCTTCCCCGCGCCCCCCGGCTGCAGCCCGCCTGCCCCCTTCCCTCCTCCTCTCTCCACCACGACACCCACCCCGACACCCCTCCCATCCCAGGAATGGATCTGTAGTCATTGCTGCAGGAGAACAAGAGCTCCACGTCACGTCAGCCCCGTCACGGAACCCGGGGTCTTGCCCGCCCCCTCGATGGAGCCACAGGAAGACCCCACGAGGAAAAGCCCTTCTACAGACTGAACTCGTAAAGAGGAGGCTGCCCCCAACCTTTTCTCTGAAGCTTAATCTGCTCTTTTTGATGACACATATTTTCATTTAAATGTTGCTTTTATTGTGGGGAAAGAAATGAAAACGGAATCAAAATGGATGCAAAGGACAGTAAATTACTTGTCTATAACAGTGCTGCTTTTTATTTGTATGGGACTTTTGACTTTTCAAAAGGTTGTCCTGTTTGCTTTTCATGTTGATATAGAAATGTTGGACAAAGAGATAAAATTTTTAAAAAGGAAACTAAAATTAAAATGACTCCCAACCCCATCATTCACACACGGTGACCAGACTCGGCCTCTTCCAGATTGTTCCGTGTGTGCTTGTACCCTTCTTACATAAAGCATCCGAATTTCTCTACAACCGCGAACTTCAATACTGCCTTGCAGCCAGGTTTCCACTTTACTGTGAACGGCCCTCCAAAACGCCAGCCCTGAACACTGCCGCTCTACCCTGTAACCAGGCAACTGCCTCACTGTGGCCGACACCCAGACAGTCTGGCCAGCGACGAGCTGGTGTGGGCTCCCCCTCTGCTGTCCCGTCCACGGCGCTCCACACGCCTCACGCCACGTGGGCTCACGTCATCCTCCCTCTCTATAGCCGGGCAGGAGCAGGGCCAGCTATGCAAGTTCCACTCCTCCGCCTAACGTGTGGGAGTGGCCGGCGTGTGCCAGGAACCCACATGGGGGGGAGTGGCCAGCGTGTGCCAGGAACCCACGTGGGGGGGGGTGGCCGGCGTGTGCCAGGAACCCACGTGCGGGGGGCGGGAATCAGAGGGCCCAAGCCCCAGGGAAGATGCTCAGAGCTACGCACAGGTGACAGGAGTGGAGCGTCGGCCCAGTGCCCTCGGCTGGCGCCCACCCACACCTTCCCAAACCCTACTCCGGACCAAGGAGGGAAATAACCAGGGAGGAGAGAGAATCTCAGCGAGGCTGCGGTAGTGAAACATGGTTTTATTGAGAACGTCTCAAGTCCTCTGTCTGAGTGACAGGGTCTCATGCTCGGTGCCGGCTGGTCTCGGTGCAGGAGGAAGCTCATGCAGGGGGTCACGTGTGGCCCGCACATCAGTGGACACACAGGGGGCACCGAGGAGTGCGCCTTGGTGACAGCGCTCTCGGTGGGATTACATTCATATGAAGTGTCCAAATTCTAGAATAAAATTAACAGCATATAACCCAAAGTTGGAGAAGCAAACAGCTTTTGGGGCTTATTCCACGAACATTCCACAGACCACCTTTAACTGTTCACGACTGGGTCCGTGATGCAACAGCGGCCCAAGCCGTGGCCAAGATGAGAGTCCTCGGGGCTGGGGGTGTGCACCTCCAAACACTGAACGAGGAAGCGCAGACGCGCTGCCGGAAACAGGAGCTCAGAGTCCAGATCGTCAGAGCCTCTCCCTCCCAGCCATGTGGACACAGAACCCCAGTGGCCCGGGCCGGCCTCTGGCCAGGGAGAGACAGTCACAGGACACGCCGAGGAAAAAGACAGGCGAAGCTGGACTCATACGACCACACTCTGCTCTTTCCATTCATATAGTTTTGATAAAAAGAAAACCTTCTGAGAGATTCACTAATTTCATAGAATTTAGAGATGGGATTTTACTTCTTGTGCTGGATCAAATTTATAGTTGGGGCAGACCTTACATTTTGGTGTAAAATATTTTGGAAATGGAAAAAAACCCATCTGTCTTTTTTACTTGTTCCTGGAGAAAAGGGGCAAGGCGTGCTCCCCGCTCCCAGCACCCACAAATTCCATTCTGGGACCTGGCTACCCCAGGAGACTGGGAGGCTCGGCCACGTGAAATTACAAGGAAAGCAGGGATTCTATAGTCTGGAAAGCAACAAAATTATTCAAAAAAAAATAAATTCCAGAGAAGTTAATACCTTGTGAAATGTGGGCTTGTACATTTTAAAATAAAATAACGGTTTCTGATTATAATAAAAATCTCCAAATAGAAAAAGATGACGAAAAGCCCCATTAAGACTCAGAGTCAAACTGCAGGGAGGAGGTGAGGCCTCCCGACCCCGAGCAGGGGTGAGGGCGGAGGAACCAGCGATCACGGCCCCCACCTCGGCCACCCTCTCCACAAGCCCTGGCTCGGGTCACAAAATGAGACTTCTCTATGGCGGACCTTCTCGCCAGCAGGACAGCTGCCCAGTGGCCCCAGGCACCGCAGCAGGGCCAGTGTCTTTGCAGAATACAAACTACAGGCTTAGCCGCCGAGACAGAACAGAAACCCTCCCAAACCCCACGGGTCAAAATGTCCTCAAAGTTTAAGATTTTTCTCAAAAGATCAAGGGCTTGGTTGTGTCAGATTTCCAAAGTCTCTAAAACCCAGATTAAGGACCCTGGATACAAAACGACACCTCAAGGAAATGCCTACGTGGTGGTGCACGGCGGGCCGCGCTCCCTGATTTGTCTTTTGGGGGGTGTGCATTTCCTCCTTTTTCCTGCTTACAGAGGACTGTGCCAGTTGCCCTGTCCCAGGAGCTGTGCAGGCCTCCTGCCCCAGCCCGACTCCCCGCAGCCCCGCCTGGCCCTGCCGCCCAGCGGTCCCCGACCCCCTCGCCCGCGATCCTTGGCTACCTTCCTCCCCAGGCCTGGGTGCTCTCGGGGCAGGAGCCCCGCATCAGGTCCGTCCTGGACGGTCGCACAAACGTGAACCGGGAGAGGCAGCAGGGCACAGCCACACGGCACGGACCCACACAGTAAGGCATTCATTTACCTGGGCTGGGGCATGGTGGGGGGGATCGTGCTCAGGTCCACAGTCGGCTGACAGAGGGGGAGCCGGGCGTCCTGGCCTGCTTGTGTGCACGTGCAGTATCATTCCTCTGGACTTTGTAACCAAAATCCACATATTTTTTAAAAACTAAGTCCATCTCCCAATCCCCATTAGAAAAAATACCATTTATAGAGAGAAGAATAAAAATGCAGGGACTCACAGATGTCTTTTCTGAGTGTGCAGGAGACTGCTGTGGTCGGGGGGCGCCACCAGACACCTTTCTTTTCTCGGGTGAAACCACAGCAGGCCCCGCCGGGCCACGCAGGCCCGAGCCCTGTGCCGACAGGGTCGGGACAAGAAAACGCCCTGCAGAGATGGCGGCATGGGCAACCCTCGTCCTCTGACCCGGCCAGGCCCCGGCAGTGTGGCCCCCTCCCCCGCACGCGCCCACGGGGCGCAGCACCTCAAGTCTCCATGCGGACGCGGAGACACCTAGAGACGTGACCTTCTGGGACCACGTCTCCCACTCTGAGCGCCCGGGCTCTGGGCCAAAGTGCCAGTGGCCGTCCTGTTCCTGCTCTGAGTTTTCTGAGCCCATAAAGGACACGGGACACCCAGGCACACAGCTTGACGCCTGGACTTGGCTGGAGGGCCCTCTCTGCCTATGGCACCCCCAAGACCCCCCAGAACCAGGAACTGCTGCTGACTCAGCGAAGGGCACCAAGCTCCTCTCCGACCCTCCATGGAAGCGGGAGGAGCGTGCTGTGACCTTTGCGTCAGGGCGGGGCGGCCTCCCGGGGTCCCCACCTGCCCGCCTGCCCTGACCCCCGGCTCGCTCGGCCCGCCTGGGACTGGCCTGTGTGCTGTGGGGTGCCGAGCAGTGTCCCGGGCACCCCCGACTCCAGACCACCCCCCCTTCCCTGCCGTGACACCAACATCCCAACCTGGTCGAGACCCCACCAGCAACACGCTGTCTCGCCAGCTCTCAGCCTGAACACTTGTACTTCAAACATGTCCTTGATAAAGCTGGAAAGAATAATTAGAAAATACGCCTTAAGTGGCATTTTCCAAGAATGAATACCTACTTACTTAGCTCTATTTCCATCCTGTGAAGAGCCTGAGACAGTCATTCACATCCAGGAGGTTCAGAGGAAGGACCAGAGGGAATTCTAGGTTATTTACTGTGCAGTAGCCCCTGTGGATCCCTTCTAGTCCCTAAAAGTTAAATACTGCTTAAAAAACCCAAATGAATGGCCAGGCCTACTGACCATGTTTGACCTCTGATTATTTAGAAGTCAACCGAGAGACGATTTTCCATGATATGGTCCTACGAGGAGCACAGAAACTTCTAGAGGACGCTGGAGGCTGCAGGGACCTGGCTGTGACCCCATGCGCCACACCACAGGTCGCTGCGCTGTGGACGTGGGCTCCGCGCGGGGAGTCCTCTCCCAGGGAGGCGCCTACGGGGAACAGGGACCTACATGTGGACAGGGGTACAGTTTCTTTAGGTTACTGCCTCCTATCTATTTCCTCACTCCCTCCGTATATAAATGCTTCTTTGCAATCAAAGTAATGTGGCATAAGAGTGACCTGACATAGTTATTTCTTATTTTATAAACCATAGTCCTAGTTCTGAATAAATTAATTATTCAAGAATTTCACACAAAGTAATTCCTATTTTTCCTAAACTTCAGGAAGCCCTACTCAGTAGAACTCAACTTCTACATGTAAACTGAGGTTGAAAGCAGTCACTGGGTGATTCAAAAGGGGGGACACTGCTGTAGAGAGATGCCAGGTGGTGACACGGGACCCTGACGCCAGACCCCGCGCCCCGCGCGCCTGCCCCGGGGACGGTGCCGCGCGCCCAGCTCCCACACATCCCACGCCTGCCCCGGCTCAGCTGCGAGGTTTGGGGCCGCGCTGCACACCCGTCAGGGCATGAGTGAGAACTGGTCCTGTTCCGTGGGCTTCTCCACCCAGGCGCCCAGCCCGGCCTTGATGAAGGCTCTGAACAGACAGGCCTTGGCGGCCTGGTACTCCTTGGCCACCAGCTTGGACTCGTGGTACACGTTGGGTTTAGTGATCTTGGAGCGCAGTAAGTTGGAGGGAACCTGTAAAAAGATTTAAAAAAAAAACAAGTGCAACTGTTTAAGCAGTAACGGTAGAAAATGAAACAGTATGATGTTCAAAAAAACGGCATTTCAAACGGTGCTGCTTCTGGGGGGAACCAAGGGACAGTGCCATCCCCGGGGACCGTGTCACACAGAGCCACGCTGGACACCCCCTGAGGGTCTCCATCCTCAGCCCCAAGTGGCGGCTTCCAGGTTAAACAGACAGGGGCTGCTGGCCAGCAGCAGACTCCAAGGTCGGGTTTCACACATGCAGGTCTTTAACAAACAACACCTCTGCCGTTTGGTCACAGGGAGAACTCGAGCCCCCCCCCGCCCACCTCCTCCAACCCATTTTTTGTGCAGGTCTTAGAATCAGCAGGGCAGCCACCCAAGGCCCCCTGCGCGGGTGAGCGTCCCGCCACGGGGACGCAGCAACCTCTGCCCATCACAAATAAAAGCTGCTGACCCGACTTACAAGTAAATGGAAACTGGTAACATACTGACTCACTAGAGGAGAGTTTATTGGGGAAGAAGGGCCATGCGGCTGCAAAACCCCCAACCCCCAACCAAAGCCCGCTAAACACACAGGCTGGAACCCAGGGCGCCCCAGAGCTGCGGGCCCCGAAGAGGACTCTGCGGGAGTGCCGAGTCCCAGGTTCCGGCGGGCTGGGGTGGGAGTTTGGGGGGAGCGGGGCTGAGCCTGCTTTGAATCTGAGGAGCCAGGGCCAGACTGTCAGCCAAGAGCACCCAGAAGAGACCAGGTGTGGGGCGGCCGCCCGGGCAGGCTGGTGGGGAAGGGCGCCTCAGTACCTTGCCGTGCACACGCATCCAGCGACAGTACAACGCGTGCTTACACAGGCGAGAGGCGCGGCCCAGCTCGTCCTTCCCTGTGGTGGCGTTGATGACCTCGACGGCCGAGTCGCCCACCGTCCAGTTGACACTGAAGTTGGGGGCCTTCCCCGGCTGCCGCGCCTCCGCGTTACTGATGCCTAGAACAAGACGGGGGCGGGTGACGCGGGGCCCGGCGTGCGTGCTGCGGGGACGCGGCCCGACAGCGGCTGGCCAGGCGCGCCTGCCCTCCCAGCAGCCCGCCCCAGTCCCTGCCGCCCAGAAACACACCTGTCTGTGCGGGGAGGCGGGTGGGCCCGCAGAAACCCCTAACCCCGAGACTTCACGCACTCCCGAGTTCACTCGGGGCCAAATCTCTAGACGCCTGGGTGGAGAGGCGCCCCACTTCCGGGAGCGATTCAGGGTCCCACACGACTGTGCTCCTGTTGTTAGCGCGCCTGGCGCTCAGACGCTGCCCGCCGGGGCCAGGCGCGTTCAGCCCCCGCCTCACATGCAAGACACGAGCGATCCAGGAAACCCGACTCTCGAGGAGCGTGTACGAGCGAGACGGTGCTTCCTCAGCAGGGTTCAACCCTCCTGTCTTGACCAACCGAGGCTCATGTCCTGGGGCTGAAAGTGGGACACGCTCAGGTCGCCGCTGAATGCACACGTCCCCGCCCGCCCTGCGTGTAGAGCCCGCCCTGCGTGTAGAGCCCGGTCATTCAACCCCCAGACGGCAGACACAAGGCCACGGTGCCTACGACAGCAGCTGGCCCGCACCTGGACCCTCTAGGGGGCTTCAGCCCGGCCCTCGCTCTTGGTGGCCATCTACTCCTCCCTCGCACAGAACGTTAAAGCCAGGACAGCTGGTCCAGGCAGCCCCCAGTTGGCACCCAGGCCTCGCTCAGAAGCCTCACTTCTGCAGGGCAAAACGGCAGCTCGTCTGAAAGCGGTGTGAAGAGACAATAAAGAAAATTCACGTTTACAGCCACCAACCTCGGGGAGATTCATTTAAAGGGACGATGCACGCTTAACAGGATGTCCATGCTCCCCTCCCCCCAGGGCGGGCGGGGGAGGGAGTGGGCACCCGCTCTGTCCGGCCTCCCCTTTACCCCTTCACTGGCTGGTCGCAGGAGGAGTGGGTGGTTGGTTCTGAACTAACATCCGGACGTGATGGAGAAGCTTCTTGTTAGCAGCACTGGCCGGGGCTTCTTAAAGGGTTCTGGCATTCAACACAGACCCCACCCCCACGGACACGGCGGGGAGCTGCTGCCCCACGGGGGGACCTGCGGAGCGTCGCCCAGGGCTTCTTCCAGGGGCAGGTGGAGGTGGGGGGCCCCCATGCGGGGGACAAGCCTCGGGCACAGAGTGGAGCTCGCTCGGGCCGGGTGGACCACACCCTGGATGACCTGCTCTAACACAGCTCCTGAGGGGAATCGCAGGGTGACTGCGGGTCACTAAACGGACACTTAAAAAATGATGATTTAGGGCTTCCCTGGTGGCGCAGTGGTTGAGAGTCGGTCTGCTGATGCAGGGGACACGGGTTCGTGCCCCGGTCCAGGAGGATCCCACATGCCGCGGAGCGGCTGGGCCCGTGGGCCATGGCCACTGAGCCTGCGCGTCCGGAGCCTGTGCTCTGCAACGGGAGAGGCCACCACAGTGAGAGGCCCGCGTACCACAAAAAAAAGAAATATGATGATTTGTCCACAGGAGGAGTGCAGATTAAGAGGTGCATTCTTCCCTGGTGTCGCGGTGGTTAAGAATCCACCTGCCAAGGCAGGGGACACGGGTTCGAGCCCTGGTCCAGGAAGATCCCACGTGCCATGGAGCAACTAAGCCCGTGCACCACAACTACTGAGCCTGCGCGTTGCATTTACTGAAGCCCACACACTCTAGAGCCCACGCTCGCAACAAGAAGCCACTGCGACAAGAAGCCCGTGCACCACAACGAAGAGGACACCCCGCTCACCGCAACTAGAGAAAGACAGCACGCAGCGACGAAGACCCAACGCAGCCAAAAATAATAAATAAACTAAATATATTAAAAAATAAAAAGGTGCCCTGCCTTCTATTCATTCAACCACAGAACTGCCTAGCCCCTACTAATCTTTTGTTCGGACGCCTAAGTGCTCCTGGCCACAGTGGCCTCCTCTGAGGTCTTCTTCCGAGCCCCACGGAGGCGGTCCAGCTGGCAAAGCCAGCTACCGACTGGCTTCACACCATCCCCCGAAAGACAGAGAAGAGTCTGAAGGTGGACAGGGTCGGCGTCCCCCCAGTGAGGCCGGGTGGAAAGCACACCCCGTGGACAGAGAAGGGAGCGCAGGTCCCCCTGCCAGTGCCGACCTCTGGCTGACCTCTGCTCCGGACTAGGCCCGGCTATCCGCCTGCCTTCTCAGATGCACACGAGGCCCGCCCACGGGGAGGCCCGCCCACGGGGAGGCCCGCCCACGGGAATCCTCCTCAGAGCAAAGCCAGCACCTGGTGCAGCCCCCCTACCCGTGCCCCAGGCCTGCCCCTTCCCCAGCAGCCAGCCTCGGGGCTCAGCGCAGGGACTTTAGAAACTACCCCCTAGGGAGACAGACCCAGTTCTGAGAAAAGCTTCAGGGTTCCTTCCAGGTTTCTGCCTTTTCCATTAAACTGCTGAATCATTTTTTCATTCCAAGACGTGAGCGCTGAGTTATTTCGCCTTCCATGAATGTTTTAACCGAAGTATAACAAAGTGTGCGGCTTTTCACAGAGTGAGCAACCCGTAGTCAGCAACTGCTCAGTAAACTGAGCGTCTGGCCGCAGAGGGCCCCCGCGCCCTCTCCTTGTCACTGCCCCTCCCCCGTGGCAGCCACTGCCCCCCGCGCCCCCCACAGCGCTGACCGGCGCTGCCTGCCTCGATATGCATTAAATGAGTATTTCCCAGACCCTCAAATTAATATTTGATTTCTATACTTACTAAATACTCTCCACAAATTAGTAAGGTTTATTCTTTCTATCCTCTTCTGTTTTCGGAGTCACTTCCTCTTAGGTGTTCTATTTTCTCACATAGATCACCTCCTTTGTGTTTACTTTCCTCAAAAGTTTGACAGCGGCTGTTCATTCGTGTGTTGTGAGTAAACAGCTTGGCTGCCGAGCAGAGGCAGTCGGCATGGCCTCTTGTGCCTCTTTCTGGGATGGGCCTCCAATTCCAGGGAGAGCCTGGAGGAAAAGCCAGGACCCAAGTCCCTTCGGGACCGAGAGCCCAGAGCCCAGCCTGGCCCTTGCCTGGGGGCCTCACCACGGGCCCCTGTTAGGAGTTAAATGCAGCCCTGGTTTCAGCATCTCCTCGTTTCACTCTGCCGCCAGGATGCGCCTGCTGAGCTCTGGGGTTTCCCCCAGTAGCTCTGTCAGGTGTCCGGGTCGTGGGCGGCTGTCACTAGCCCACCTGCCTGGCGTGCAGTCGGTTCCTGCAGGTCACCGAGCTGCCGCTGAGCTTATTCAAGGCCACAGCCTTTCAAGTACGGAGTCAGGGAGGGGTGTGGGGGGAAAGGGGGGGAATCTGTTTAGGTACAACTGGTGGGGGAATCTTTCATGAATAAATGGATAATGCTTATATTATATTATTTTCCTTTGCAATTCCATTACTTTTCTACAACAAGGTCAAAATCAAGGGTTACTGTTGAATGATACTTAAACCTTAGAATTACAACATTTTGCATTAAAACTAGAAATGGTCAATTAACTAATTGTTCAAATTTTTAAAATTTATTTTAAGCTGAGTAAACTCCCATCTTTAGCAAGAATGGAGAAAATAAGGCCAAGAGAAAATAGCTAGCCCAAGGTTCCAACACTAACCATACACTTTTCCTGGAGCAGAGAGCCCCAAATGGGCCCAAGAGCTTATCTCTATGAGCCTCTGGGGCCAACACTGCTGTAGTACGGACACCAAGAAGAGCTTATCTTTCCGGGGCTGCAAAGCAAGAACCAGGATAGTAAGTTAATCACAGACCATGGTGCAGAAAACAATAAAAGAAGAACAACTTCGTCTGGTAATGAGAGCCCCTCTGTTGCTGTAAATTAAGTGTGCTGAATCAGAACTTTTCGAGCAGAAGTACAGAGAAACTGTGAATTGGCCTAATAACTGATACAAGTAAACACTTAGAAAACTCAGCTGGCACTGGTATTTTTCTTACTTCCCTTGTAAAGATACTTCCTACATTCCTCACACAGTAACATGTAATCAAATGCATTACATACAGAACGAAGAGTAACAGACATCCAGGGTGACTATGGGTTCCCGTTACAGAAACTGCCACTCACTTGCTAGCTGGTCAGGAAAATGTGTAGTTACAGTCTGGACTGAAAGTGGCCTTTGCTCTGCACATACACAAAGACCTGAGTCGAGCTGAAGTGGAAGGAAACCGAGTATACAGCACTCGACAGTGATGGTGACACGGGCCGTGTAGCCGGGGCCGTGAGCCCCGAGCCTGCAGCCCCTGGAGCAGAGCACCTTCGAGACTTCCATTCTGATTTTCGTTCAAAAAGGCCCCCTGAGCTGACGGAGCGGGGGTGGAACCAGCGGGCAGCACGAGCCTGTGAGGGCGAGGTGGCCACACACCTATCCTGCTGTCCTCCCCAGTCCCAGACGGGGTCACGGCTCCGCGCAGAGGACCTCGGGCCGAATCAGACTCCCTTTTTACACAAGCCCAGGGTGGGGTGGCTAAAACACCCACTCCGGGAAGAGCCCAGGCGCTCTGGTCCAGAAGGTGATGTGCGTGCTGCTGGCGAGCCGGCCGGAAGGCGGGCCGATCGCACGGACAGGGGGTCAAGCCGGCCTCGCCCCGAGAACCGCACAGGGCTGGTGCACGAAAGGGAAAGTCCCTTCCCCACCAACGTGCCTGGGGGGGGCCAGACGGGGACTCCACCTGCTGGTGCAGACACAGGGAAAGGGGGACACCTGGGCGGGGTGGGGGCGGCAGACGCCCGGAGGGACACGCGGCGCTTGCGTCCTGCGGGCGGCACTTTGGGCCAGGTTCATGTTCTGAGCAGCGTGTGGCCTTCCGGGGGCCCTGCTGCAGCAGCACCTGGAAGGGGGTGGGCAGCGGTGACGGGGAACACACTGCATGGGGTGGGGAGGATCCAAGGGCAGGTGTGAGGGGTCGGGCTCCGTGACAGGAAGGAGCACGTGCCTGCC